ATATTAATTCACACAGTACCGGTTTCATATGGACATTTTATACAAGTGTTTAATGCATGCTGAGCACACTCCCTCATATCCCTCATCCCTTCCCGGCTCTCTGCTTTCCACCACAAGTTCCCTTTGGTCCCCTTGACAGCTTCTCATCTACTTTGGTGCCATATATACATACATGTAATAGGTGACTTTTTAAAATCTAGCAGCCTTCACTTAGCGCCATAATCTCCAGCTGTATCCATCTTCGAGTAAATAGCATAATTTCATTGTTCTTTGCGGTAGAATGAAATTCCACCGTGCACATACACCACATTTTCTTTATCCGTTCCTCTGCGGTTGGACACCTAGGTTGGTTCCATAACTTAGCCATTGTGAGCAGTGCTGCAGTAAACCCTGATGCACACGTTTCTCTGTGACGTGTTGACTTGGAGTCCTTTGGGTAAATACTCAAGAATGATATATCTGGGTCATGTGGTAGATATATTTTTAATTTTTTCAAAGACTCTCCCTACTGATTTCTTTTTTTAACTTAAAAAATTTTTACTTTATGCATATGAATGTTATGCCTGCATGTATGTAAGTGCACCTGTGTCATGCAGTGCCTGCAGAGGACAGAAGAAGGCATCAGATTCCCTGGAACTGGAGTTGTTAGCTGCCATGTGGGTGTTGGGATTTGAGCCTGGGTCTTCCTCAAGATCAGCCAGTGCTTTTAACTGCTGAGACATCTCTCCAGCCCCATACTGATTTCTATAGTGAATGGCTAAAACAATCCATAAAGGTAGAATGGAAAACAGCTTGACAATCTTAGACTCACAATACTGGAATCACCTGAGATCTTTTTCAATCACCTTTGCAAAGAATTCTCTTAGGTGGCCATTGGATGTCAGTTTTTGACAGCGATGGAATGAATCAAGCTTGAGTGATGGTCCAGGTTTGGTGCTTCTGCAATTAGATCCCTCTGATCTGCAGCATCGCTTAGGGCCTTTCCGTGGCAGCTGCTGTGCCTGGATGTATTCACCATCATCTTGGCAAGGAAGAAACAGTCCAGTTACTGACCCTCTCTGGCTTCAGTTTGCCATGAAATTATTTCATTCAAGCAAGCACTGGCTTCTTTCAAAGAAATATTTGCAAACAGTAAAATTGTTGACAGCATGTGCAGAAATAAAGTTTGGTAAAAACGTGTAAAGCTGTAAGTCTAGAGTGCAATGTGGAGGCGCCCCCACCGAAGGCATCGCTTCTCAAGCTGGTGTTTCTACTGTGACAAGAACACGGCTTGTCACGCAGTGGTTCTGTCACTGGTGGCTGCTGCTGCGGGTGAGGTTACTCATCACTGACGTGTTCAGTTTCACAGAGCCCTGAGCCATTTGCTCTTTTTACTGCAGCAATCGAATGCAGAAACACATGGAGGAGTGGCATAAATGGGGACAGGATGGTCCTCAGCATCTCATTTCACAATCCGTACGATGGCTGCTCCTTCTTCAAGTCACCGTTTGACAGGCACTTGGGGTCCTCAAGGGACAAACACACTGAACACTCCATCACAGCTCAGCAGCTGCTTTTGCACGCTCCTGTCTGTCTTTTGGACACTTTACTACATCCCTGTCGATGGTTAATAGGACCAACTGTAACTTGACAGGCAGTCTGGTATACTCTTTGGTTGTGGAGAAGCCAAAAAAAAAAATGATGAAATTGCGGAACTTAAATCTATTATAAATCTATAGTTACTCTGGTCTTATTCTCAAACAAGACTGTAGAAAGAATCATGTGGAGATATCTTGAAATGAATAAAAATGGGTTTGGTCTTGACTACTGCACTGTGAGGACAGAATGTGAACTCATCCAACACTGGATCATCATATTCTCAAATAAGAAGCAGACATTTCTTGAATTTGCTTTTGTTTGTTTTCTAACTATGTTAATGTCGAAGGGAGAATGCAGTAATTTTGATGTTAGGAACCATGGAAAGCTCATCATTTATTAGCACGTATGCCTGTTTTACACGTAGATATCAGTCAAGGAAATCTTGTGAAGCGGAAGTTGTTTTTATCAAAATCAAAGCAATAGGTGTATCCATGTTAGAT